TCCTCCAAGTTTAAAAGAACAAAGGAAAGAAAGAGAAGAGGAGAAAATAAAGGGCTTCATGGCTGACACTGACAAAGGATCTATAAAGTGCGGTACAGGGCTACAGGATAAATCCTGAGAGTACTTTTCTGACCTTATCAGATACAAAACTTTTTTTTTTATTTTTTACAAAACTTGATATATAGGTCTTGCTTTATCTTAGTCTTAACCATCCAGCAGAAAAGTATAAAAACGGGGTATATAAAGTAAAGCCGTATTAATATGATGAGCTGTAAAAGGCTCAAGTCAATAACTTCTGAGGATAACCCACTAATATTATAGACTGCTAGACAGTGTTAAATTGTTTAGCTGAATTTAAACACCTATAGTATTTAGATGCCAATGGAATATCCACCTCTGACAAGACAAAAAAAAAAAAAAAAAGGATACAAGGGAAAGATAATTTTGTATTTATATATACCAAATAGTTAGGATAAATATATAGCTACTTTCACTTAATTCAATGAGAAGAAAGAGGTGTACTAATAGTGTTTGGACAGGATATCCTGTCTGCTTCTTGTACCATATGGATAACCACTAAGAAGACAACATTGTACAATGTGTTGATTATCAAAACTGTCCTATTAATCAGCTTTAAAAAATCTAAAAGACTTGTTATAGAATGGGAGAAGTTATTGGCACAACATAGGTCTAACAAAGGTTTTTGGTTAATGAAATAAAATCTTTAAATCTAAAAAAAATTACATTAAATTTTTTTTAAAAAAAGTGACTATTCCCTGAAGGAAGAATCCTCAGGTATGAATGCTTAACAAAGGGCAGAAGGGAGCTAATTAATGCCCTTTTTGTTTGCACCCTTTTGTTTTCCACTGCATAAGAACACAGCATTTGTTTCCTCCAAAGGATAGATTAAGTGTTCTATCTTTAAAATAGAGAGGAGGGGCTAGAGAGATGGCTCAGTGGAATAAGCGCTTCTCTGGCAAGCACAAGGGCCTGAGTTCAATCCCCAATTCTGAGGGGGGGGGGGGAGAGAGAGAGAGAGAGAGAGAGAGAGAGAGAGAGAGAGAGAGAGAGAGAGAGAGAGAGAGAGAGAGAGAGAGAGAGAGAGAGAGAGAGAGAGACTCTAAACAATGAAGCTGCTTGCAAAGTGATCTTGGACTTCAGTGTCTAGAACTGGGGGCTCCATCCAGAGCCACCATCCTGTGTGCATGGTGCTGTAGAGCCCAGAGTAGAGCCCTTCTGAGAGTCACAAGGAGATCACGTGCACCAGCAGAGCCAAGAAGGCAGAGCCAACGAGCCCAGCACTCAGGTCCCTGGGCCAGTGCTGCCAAGCTCACCAACTGTGAAAACACCAGCTGGTGTAGTCGGAGAGGCCCAGGTGGACTGCAGAGAGAGGCCAGGGATCTTCTGCTATATCTGTAGGTGCTTGCGGTACATGGGGCTCCCATGCTGTGTCTGGGTGCAGCTTGTGGTCAGGTCCAAGGCCCACAGGGGCTTAAGAGTGCACAAGGCATGCATCTGTCAAAATTCAGAGCAGGGCTCAGATTTGTACTTTTCAAAGTCTCTCAACTAAGAGTCTCTCAACTAAGGCAAATGTGGGAGCCCTGCTCTCTGGCCACTGAAGCGCACAGGGAGGCACCTGGGGGTCTACAGTGTCTGCGGCTCACACATGACCCACCCAACCACGGGCAGACTTGGGGAGACAGATGGAGGACAATGAGCAGGATCTGCTTCCAATGACAACTCAGCGGGGGGATGGGGACATTTACTGCAAAGAGGCACCCATGGGGTTCACACCTGCCAGCACCCTTGCACAGCTCCCTGCTCTACCCTCCACCTGCCTCTCCTCCTCCACTTCATCCACCATACCTCCATCTCCTGCTCCCTTTTTCTTGTCCTTCTATCCTACTCTGTCAGATCATTCACCTTGTTCCAGGACCTTGAGGACAGAGGCTGCTGCTCTGCCCCTTTCAGAGGCCACCAACCCAGCACCTGCCCACACCTTGTGCTAACACCAGACCTAAAGCCCCAACCTGGCATGCCCTGCGAACTCACAGCAGATGGACAGACACACGTGGAGACTCTGACAGCTCCTTGCTCCTTCCTCTGTCAGAGAAAGATACTCACCTCCTGGGCTCCACCTCAGAACCAAGGCTTCCTCTACTGTGTGAAGCTTTCTGGGGCATTAGTGGCTCTTCTGAATTTGGGGGCCCCAGGCACCAGGACAAGCCACTACCGCTAGGGCCACACACCCCTAGACAACCAGGGGAAGCTGACATTCTCTGGGAATCAGGTTACAGTGGCAGGACACTTACCCAGGCCACCTGACAGCGGGCAGAAGGCCCAGCCTCACCCTAAGTCTCCCGCACTTGCCATGCTGCACTGGGGCACCTGTGTGCACCTGAGCCCCCACCTGGGTCCCGACTCCCAGGTCACCTGACCCCACCACTGCAGTGAGTCCCAGTGTCCTAACACACAAGCCCTACAATCACATGGCTCAGCTGACTTACATGCCCACAGCTCACCCTACCAGCTGGGTGTCCTGTGCCTCCTTCCTAGCCACAAGGGGAGAAGTGACCCCTTCAGCTGACCCATGGCACACAACACCCTCCTAAGACAGCAGCCCTGGATAGAAAACAGTCCTGCCCTGGAAGTGGTTGGGCCACCCAGGGCCACCTCAATCAAACCAGGAGACCTCGGGCACATTCTCCTTTAAAGACCTCTCTCACACAGCTGCAAAGGACACCCCTCCAGGGCTGTGTATGCCTGCGGGTTCCCAGCTCAGTGTAGGATTGAAGGTAGCTGTGCCCTGCCCAGCCGGCTCCCCTGGCCTACGGTGACCTGAAAACACCCTGGTAATGTGATCTCACCTGCTGACTCCTGAGATCCTCCTCCCACCCGGTCAAGTCCTCAGCAAGTCTGGGAACTGGTGGGCATTACCCTCCACTCCCAGTGCAGTCTTGCAGGTACAGGTGAGGAAGGGTCCAGGATCCCAGGAAAACTGGCCACCTTCACTCTAGAGTCACTGTCCTGGTTTCTGTGACACAAAGAGAATGGGAGGTGGAGCAGAAAGGGTCCAGCTGTCTGTCCGGAGTCCTGCAACTGCTCCTCTTCCAGGCCCTATGCCAGCCAGGCCTGCTCTGCCTGAGCCGGGGCTTTGGTGGCCCTGTGGTTCCCAGTTGCCTTCACCCTCTCTGTGCAGGGAGGCAGAGGCCAAACACCAGGCTAAGGAAACAGCACAATGGGAGCTCAGAAAGGAAGCTGAGGCAGGGATGCAGCACAGGCATTCACCTGGGGAGTCCATCCCTGGGAAGATAAGGAATAGGACCAGATCCCAGCGTGGGAAGAACAGGGAATAGAGCCCAGTGGCTATGAGCTCGGGACCCCAGAGCACCAGGGAGCTGGCCAGGTGGTGACAGCTCTGGAACTTGGTGGAAGTGTTGCTCTAGGTGTGGATTACTAAGTCCCTCAGTCTGGACACAGACATGGAGCACATCACTGTGTGCAAGCACCCATTCAAGGTGTCCATCAGGGACAGAGGAGCAGAGCACAGTGTGGCTTCCCAAGAGAGAAGCAGGAGCCACCCACGGGCTCTGATGTGCAACCCTCAGGGCCCCACCCGCATGCCCCCACCCACCCCCATGCCAGGGTCCTGCCCCCAGTGTCCAGGCTGAGCCAGCAAATCATTCCTTCCCTGCAAGAGACTCCTGGCTCCTTGCTCTTGGGCCAGAGAGCCCCGGCCCCAGGCCTGTCCCTGACTGTGTCCTCTGCTGCCTCTGTGTCCTGGCCTAGCAAGTACTTGAGTCTTCTTGGATTCCAAGAGTCCTCTGGCCAGTGTCCAGTGTGCTCACCTCTGTCCCTAGTCTTTCTACCTCCTTCCACCAGAGCTGCCATGGTTCCCTGATCTGAAGTGCTGTCACCCATCCTCAAATTCCATCCCTGAAGCTGAGACTCAGCTCCCACCACATGGGACACAGGGGCTAGAAATAGGGAAAGTTGCCATGGACACCTGCCCTGCAGGTCGCAAACACCCACGTTGGGAAGACTGCAAACACACACACACACACACACACACACACTCTCTCTCTCTCTCTCTCTCTCTCTCTCTCTCTCTCTCTCTCT